CGTGCCACATCTCCACGCCTCTTTCGACGTTACACGATCGGCGATCGCGACGTAGCGACAGACTCGCCGTTATCACCTCCAACAATATCAAGATTTTTTATTGTTGTTAAAAGTTATATATTTCATTATTTAATTGTAAATTAATAAACAACAATTTGAATTTATTTAATTTATATATGGGAAATTTGATTTGTTAAAGATTTTTATAAAGTATACTTTTTTTTATTAAAGATTTATAAGGTTTTTTGGAAGGTTTTCTTTTAAAGATATATTTAATTATTTAAAAATATTATTTGATAAATTATTGTTATTTTGAAAAGTATTGTATTAAAAAAAATATTATTAAGTTATTATTGTATAGTTTTATTAATTAATTTACAAAATTTTTTATTTAAGAAATTAAAATTATAATATATTAATTTTAATAGTTTTAAAGTCTGATTAAAAAAAAGTTGGATTAAAAATATAATTATTTTGTAATTGTTGTTGAATTTAGTTTAGTAATGATTATAAATAATTTGATAATTTGAAAAATAAAATTATAAACAATCCAGAATTAATCAATAAAGCTTTTTTAATTGAACTAATATATATATACAGTATATTATTGTTTAAAAATATAGTATTTGAAAACGTAATAAATTTTTTAAAAAGTTTTATAAATAATTAATTTGTATTTTGATTTATTTGATTGAATTTTATTCATTGATAATAAGGCTGAGTTGAAATATGTTAATATAATATAATAAATATTTTTTGTTTAATTTTTATGGATAAGATTATAGAAATATAATAGTGTAAAAAAATAGATTTTGATATTATATATTCTTGAAAACTTTAACATATTATATACTTAATATTCTTTTGTTACTAATTTATAATCTATATTTTTTTTTGAGATAGAAATGAAATATAATAATAGAAAAGTTTAACATTGATATTAGAAAGAATTTTTATAAAAAAAATTGAAAGTTTTAATGTTATAAAATTTTTTAACTTTATATTTAAAGATTATAAATTTAATAATTAATATTTTTTAATAAAATAGTTTATAAGATGAGTAAAAAATTTGCTAGTTTATAAAAAAACATACATCTATATAGTTTTGTAATATATAATTACAAGAATAATATATATAATAATATTGATTTTTTTTTAGTTTTAAGATTAAAATTAAAATTATTTTTTTTTGTATTTTTTGTAAATATAAAAAAAATATATTATTAATATATTTAAGACAAATACAATAATAATAAAAAAGATAATAGTTAAAAGTTATTTGATCAAATCAATTAATATGCTAAACCAAAAAATAATAAATTAATTATTTTATTAGTATTAAGTTTATATAATTAAAAACAAATAATATACATATAATTTATTTGATCAAGGAGTTTTTCTATTAACAAGTGTTTTTTTTTGTATTAGTTTTTTTAAATTGAGCTATATTCTTTTATAATATCAACTTTTTTTGTTTTAAATGATTAATGTTTATAGATGAATTATTAATTAAAATATTTTTTTATAATATTTTAATTTTATATATTGCTTTTTTTATAAATTACAACTCTTATCAATTTTATTATTAATTTTATTGTTATTAATTCTTTTATACAATAATACTATTATTTATAAACAATGTATAAAAATAATTATAAAGAAAATAGATTATCAAAGTTAAAATAAATTATTAAATAAGTTATTTAAGCTTTTATAACTAAGTTTTAATATCTATTATTAATTATTAATGCTATTTCATATTTTCAGGACATACAATACAGTGATTATGATATATAGCTATATTTTATAACTTTTATCAAACTAACAGTACTTTGCTTATCTGTGATTATATGAGTCTGAAATTAGTAAAGTGACAAACTTACTATTTTTCAATTTAACAATATATAGTTATATAAAGAAATTGCTTTTATTGTTAAGAAAATTGTTTGCTTCATGGTGAAATCATATAAAAGATGGAATAAAGATGTTGAAAAATTAAAAGAATTTTTTTAATATAAAACAAATTTTTTAAAAAAATTATTTACAGTATATTATAAAACAAAATTTATTGAAATTGGTTTATTAATTTTTAATTTATATTAATTATAAATTTAAGGATAAAAATTACAATAAATTTCAAAAAGTTTTAGATTTCAAAATTTTTTTTAATTAAACAAGACAACTTTCTATTAATTAAAAAATATTTTGTAGAAGTGAAGGTTTTTTTATTAAATTAACAATAAAACCAAACAACCATCAAGATAATAAATATTACTTATATTAATTTGAAAAGTCTTTTTCTTTTATTATTATTTTTATGTATACTTTTCTAATTAATTATTAAAAAAACAATCAATATAATCAAATTTAAATTAAATAATAATAACATATAGTGGGACTAAATCATTTATTTATTATAAAATGAGAGTAGAAATTCTTACATATGTGTTGAGATAAAATAACATAGTAATGACATAGCCTACTTATAAACCTTCGTAACGTATTTGCTATATAACTTAGGCAAGGTCTTTGACTCCATGCGCTGCCATTAAGACCTTTAATTTCGTGATTTCCATCTTAAGGTTCATCACTTCAACATCTTTTTCTTGCTGGATCTTAACCTTTTCGGATTCCTTTTCTTTCCAGAGTCTTGATTTTTCTTCTTTCATACATTCTAACATATTCAATTTTTCTGCTTCTTTTCTTTTTAGCAAATCGAGTTTTTCTCCTTCCTTCTTTTCTAACAAATTGAATCTTTCTTCTGCTACATCGCACTGAAACTTTAATATGGCCTCATGTACATCACTTTGAAAATTAAGAATTTTTGTATTAAGGTTGGACGCATTTGGAATATGATTAACATCGATTAGGTCAATTCTAATTCGAAAAACGTCCAAGATACTGTCGGTCTTTCTAGAGTAACTGCGTATCCACTAGAAATTTTTTATACTTAAGTATAGTAGATGATCGGTGCAAATATTAAATAATAAACAGAATAACCTACCATATGTGTTCTTTTCAACGAAGGCCTAGTTAATAAAAAGACACGAGAGGGTAACAGTAAAGTTGCGGACATGATAAAGGCTTGTTTATTCTTTCTCGCTTTTTTTCTTTTTGCGATAAATAGAAAAAATATTTTGTAAAAACTGAATTTATACTTCTTATAATGTGGGCCGCAGAACATTACATTACATTACGTATGAAACTTGAATATAAACTTTGACTCAAATACTGTAAATTTAGATTAAAATCATCATCTTATCAATTGACTGCGCATTTTGTTATACAGCACCTATTACTGTGGTGATCTGGGGCGCGTCTTGAAAATAAGTTAAATAAATATTATTAGTATGAAAAACAAATAAAATTAATGTTATTATAACAATTTAATTAATGAAATATCAGAAATTACATTTACCCATATATAACTATAATTTTTTGATTTTTTAATTTCTTTAATTTTATAATTTACAATTTTTCTATTATGGAAAAAGATATTTAAATAATATAACAAAAATAATAAAAAAATCTTATTTGTTAACAACATTCTTAATTATTTAAACTTGTCAAAATTAATATTTTTTCTATTTTATTCAATCATATAATAAATATACTTCTTGTTTAATTTTTATACAAGACTAGATTAATTTCGCAATATTAATACCAAACTATAAATAAATTTACTGCTTATTTTAATTTGAAACCAAAAAATATTTATGTATATACTGTAATAATAATAAAACAAAGTATTTTATTTTAAAATAATCATTAATTTACAACTAATCTTGAAAAAAAGTTTTTAATGCCATTTTTTTTGAAGAAACATTTTTATTTACTTTTTTATGTTATATATGTTGTAAGCCTAAGAATATAAAAACTTTAAAAATCATTGTTACATTGAAATAAGATTATTGGTTAGCAAATTTGAAAATATTGTTTATTCTTTGATTATATAGAAAAACGTTTGTGGCAATTTTTTTTAACTTTAACTTTATTATTTTTAAAAAAACTAGCAATATTATTTACATATTAATTTTTAATTTTATAAAATTATTTTAAAGTTATATTTATGCAAGATTATTGAATTTCTTGATTGTTTAATAAACCTTTTTTAACTCTTTATTATTTAATATATAATGTGGAATTTCAAATTTCAGTTTGTATCAAAAATCAAAATTAGTTCTTACTCCTTTAAATAATTAATAACATTTAATGATTAATCTAATAACAATCAAATCAAATCCAATCTTTGTAATAATATGTTTAAATAACAGTTTTTTAACAAATTTTCAAATCAAAACATTTCAATTATTATTTTAATCAAAACTATTCTTAAAACTTCATTACTTCAAAGTTTATTATATTAGTATTAAATTTATTATTACACAAGTGATAAGCCGTTTATGAATCACTTTTAATGCATTATCATTTATTTGATATCACATTAAATAATAGGATTTACAGTATATGGGATAGACTAGTATTGACTCAAAGATTTGCTTAATATATTAGAAATAATATATTGTTTTGCATTTTATACATGTCTGCAGAAAAAAAAATAAGCATTTTAAATCAATATTTATCAAATTTTTAATTTGGTTAAATACAATGTTGAACTATTTACTAATAAAATTTTATAAATTTTCAAGAATTAAAAAAATGACATTGAATATTTTTAATATATAGAATAAATGGATTATCGCATAAAAAAAACTATAATAAATTAATATTATAAATTTTGTTTTCATCTGTTTTAATAAATGAAAAAATTTTCTCGATTTTTAGTTTGAAATTCAATATCAGAACGTATATTAAATTACATAAGTAGAAAAATCTGCTTATGTAGCTTATTATGGGGATGTTTTCAAAATAAGAAATAAAAATTCAGAAATACATAATCTTAATCAAAATTTCGAATTAATTTAAAATCAAAAAAATTTTTTAATGATATGCTAATGATAAAAAAATTTCATTTAACATTAACAAAATTAAGTTGCCTTCTAAACAAATATGTTGAAATAATAAGAAATATACTTTTTAATGTGGTTTCTTACCATTATATTTACGTATTTATGTAGAAAATAAAATATATATATATATATTTTCTATGTCATATCTAATTAAGAGCAAATTTTTTTTCAATGAAATCTTTATATAATTTATATATTATAAAAAAACAATTTCATGATATTTCAACATTTATGCAAAAAATATGAACTGATGTTAATAGTTTAAATGGAAAATCATGTATTTAAACACATAAATTATTGAAAAAATCTGATTCAATATTTTCCATAGAAATTATATTTAACAGTTGACTTGAACAAAGTAAATCTGTAATATAAGACAATTTATTTAAAAAGAATATTTATAGCATGAAAATCTTGTAAACCAATCCAGTTCATGGGCACGAAGAATACTATCTGTAATTAGAAATAAGACATTAGCCCTTTTATTTCATGGTATCTTGTATAAACTATTTCGAATTTTTCTATATTGTAATCAATAAATTGTATAACGATAATGAAATAATTTTTTCTTCATTTCAAATGATTCTATAGCATCGTGTGGGATGGGATTCGTCGCCACTGCAAAGTTTCCCACATCTATATTTAATTTATGAAACTTACTAAACAACACTATTAAATATAACATAGTTAATTACCTCATTAAATGTTTCCGTAAAACCTTTGAAACCCAATTTCTTTTCCACTGGCTATCCCGATAAAGGATATCTCCTTTGGTCCATTCTACAAAATTTACTTTTCCAAAGTCGCCGTTGGAACTGAATATCACACGCTCGAATTCTGAATACAGAATCCACCTGATAACTTTTAACCGGACTTCTTTTGTTAATTTGTCGATTTTATACTTTTTCCATTTCCAATTATCAAATTCTTGTTGAAAACAAGCAAAATCACAATGTTTACACCAATGATAAGTTGATTTTCTCATACCAAAATATCGAAAATAACCTATATTCAACTTACCAACTACAATTACAAATAATAATGAATACATCTGCGAAAAAATAACGAAAATACGTATAGTGTATTCAACTTACTTGCTATAAAGGTCAACGATTGTTAAAATTAAATATTTGATGATTTTATAATCAAATCACAAAATGTATCATGCATTTGACTTACTTTCTAAAAAATGGTAAAAAAACAGTTAAGCTAATTTGTATGATTTTATCAAAACAACAAAATATCGTGAATTCGACTTACTCTCTATAAAAGTCGACGATCAATACAATACAATTAAATTTCATTTTGTGATTTTACGAAATTTTGAATTCTACTTACGGACTATAAAATAGATAATTAATATAATCATATCTCGTTTATATGACTTTACATAATGAAAATATATTGTGTTCTACTTACTCTCTATAAAAATTAATGATTAATACAATTAAATCTCTTTTTGTATTGTTTTACATAAACAATAAAATTATCATAGATTAAACTTACTAACTGCAAACGAAAGAAAAAATAACATAGTTAATTCTGACTTCACATTATTTACATAACCAATTATAAAAATATTCTGGGCTCAACATACAATCTGCAATAGAAAAAATACAATTAAATCTTATTTTATATAATTTTCCAATAATAATAAAAGTACCGTGAATTCAACTTACCAACTATAAAATTTGGAAAGTAATACAATTAAACCTTATTTCCTAGGATTTTATACAAATAGAAAAAACATTACGGGTTCTACTTACGAACTACAATAGAAATGAAATATTAAAAAATTAAATCTATTGTTATAAATTTACAAATAACATCCTCAATTCAACTTACCATCTACAATAATAATAACAAATAAGTTAACCCTTTTTTAATATAATTTTATAAAACTGAACAAAAAATCATCGAAACTTACTCCCTATAAAAGATGATTCTTTAATATGATTTATTATATGCAAATGACGAAAGATCTTATATCTAACTTACTATCTGTGAGAGTTGATGTATAATACAATTAAAGCTCTTTTCACGTAATTAAGTGAAGCTAATAATGAAAACATCCCGAATTTTACTTACTCCCTATAGTTTATTATAAGTTCAATTAAATATCATTTCACATAATTATTAAATAGACGACGAATTATAATGGATTTAACTTACCCACTATAAAGTTTACAGTAATATATTTAAATTTATTATTTACGAAAAAAACAGCAGCAACAAAAAATATCTCGAATTCAACTTACAAGCTAGAATGGTAGAAAAATAAAATATTGTTTCATAATATTTTACAAGCAAATATCGAAATTTCTTGAATTCAACTTACCAACTATAAAAGTTGATGATATAATTAAATAGCATTTAATATTATTTTAAAAAACAAGTGACGAAAATATCCTCGAACAACTTACATTCTACGATAGCAAAGAATAAGAATAAAATTAGATTTAATATCGCATGATTTATAAAAAATAATTAAAATATTCTGAATTAAACTTACCCACTATAAAGTTAAAAATCAATACAGTTAAGTCTCACTCGATAGATTTACAAAACAGATAACAAAAATCTCCTGGATTAACTTACATTCTATAACAGTAAAGAATAAGAATACAATTAATAATTATTATATATTATTTATCAAAAAGTAACAAAATGTTCTGAATTTAACTTGCCCACTATAAAAGATCCCGATTAATAATCAAATCTCATTATATATAGTTTTACAAAATAAATAATTAACATATCCTGGTTCAACTTACCCACTACAAAGTTGACAATACAGTTAAATATCATTACATATAATTTACAAAACAAATGACAAAATACTGTATCATTATTTAACTCACATCCTACAAAGAGAACAACACTTAAATTTGATTCACATGATTTAACGAGGAAAATAATAAAAGTATCCTGGATTCAACTTACGAACTATAAAAATTGATAATTAATATAATTTCACGAAACAAATGTTGATAATATTCTGGATTTAACTTACAATCTACAATAGTAAAAAAAAAAGAATACATTTTAACTCATTTTATAGGACTTTACTAAACAATAACAAAAATAATGTGCTTTCAACTTACTC